CTGCACCCACCCAAACAGCCACGCAGCAGGCTCCATGGAGGGAAAACAGGAATCTGTGGCATGACGAGCCCCTCGGGGAACTTAACTTTTGTGTCTCCTGGAGCAGTTATTTATAGGGATCGCTGATTCCATCGGCCACCAGCTGCATGCGGACAGCATACCAACACCCCCTCCCCAACAGGATTCCTCAGCATCCTGGGAGCGGCACAGGACATCTATCCACACCTGCCTCTAGTTCCCGGCCCAGCTCTCAGCACCGTAGCGACTGCACCGCTGCGCTAAAGATATTCTTCAGCCTCTGGACACGGACTCACAGTGACACACAGATCCGTGAGCTCCCGCTCCAACCCAGCTGGCGCCTCAGGTTGTGCTCTCTGCTGGGAAGGTAAAAGCCCTGGGTTCAGGTTTGGGACACCGGTATGGGTTGTTGGTTTGGGTTTTCTGTTTTTTAAGCCTGACCCAGGCCATAGGCATTATTCGCTCAATCTAACTCTCCCCCACGCTCACCCAGGGGCCGGCTACACGCGCAGCGGGACGCAGTCTTCCCCTGCCCCTGTTCCCTGGCACACACCACCTGGCTGGCTGCTGCCTAGCCAAGCGATTCCACAGGAGGCAGCTGAGTGCTTCCAGCCCAAGCTCCTCGCTTTAGGATCACAAGCTCATGAAAATGACTGTGTCACCCCTCCCCAGACTCCCCACACCACCCCCAGGTGAAGCCGGACTTTTCCTTTATCCCTTTTGGTGGTGAGTCTGCCAGGACACAGTCTGCCACTGACAGATGGTGCCACAGCAGAGCCCTAAGCTCCTGCAGAACAAAGGATGAGCAAGTCTGCTCCGTTACTGACACCACCCCAGCGAGACTTTCCCAGACGCGCTGGCAAAGCGTCCACAGAGCTGCTGCCAGGTCCGCAACAGCCCCGGTGACTCCCATGGACAAATCCAAGCCAAGGCCCTACCCTCACTGCAGAGCTGGAGGCACAGTCCCTGGGGTAGGTGTTTGACAGCCAGATGTGGGCACCTGGATGCACGTTTTCCAACAGCCATCACCAGCAGCCAGCACTCCACCTGGGGTGAGGTTTCTCTGGTGAAGACAACGCGTATCTTGAAGCACCCACTGTCCTTTTTCTACATCCCTATTGACCCGTAACACGCTGTTTTGCTGCTCCCCACACCAGAATCTGCTCAGGTCTGGCTGCAGCCCTCCGAGGGCCAAAAGCAGCCTTGGACCCTGGAGCTCAGGCACTAGGCCAGCGCCCAAGCCTGGCAAGCGTGGTGGAGGTGGATTCATTGCGGAAGTTTCCTGGACCATGAAGTACCTGTCACCCCACAAGAGGATGCACCTTCCTCCCCTTTGCAGCACACAGCACGCCAGAAGCACAACTGCCCAGGAGAACAGCCCCAAGAGGGGCCGCTGCTGGTTGAAACCCAGACCAGGTGCTTTATTCACTTCATATTTATTTTTCACAAAGACTGTACAAAATTCTTATAAAACTCTGGTGTGGGGATGGGCTATGACATTGATCCAAAAAATAATTCCCATACAATCCCACCAGTTTCATAACTTACAAGGAAACAGATAAGCTACAGAGAGCTGCGAGTCCTGGAGTATTTACACCGAGGAGGGCAGGAGCGAACAGGAGACGAAGCAACACGTGAACAGAGGTATTTACAGTATGGACACACAGGCCCCCTCGCCTCACGGTAACGGCAGCAGCAACAGCAGGAAGTCAGGCCCATGGTGCTCAGAGGCCGATAGAGAATATGGGGTATTTACAGTATCTCACATATTAACAGCTTTACAAACATGTCCAGGGAGTTCTTCTCACGTATAAAAAAACAAAAGCACCAAGTGTCTGAATAGAAATCACACAGGCCTCCACGGGGGCTAGAATCTGAGGGCAGGCTGGCACCTGTGGCGTCACCGGCTGATGTCTCTGCTAGAGTCCCACATTTTCGTGCTCGGCTCCATCTCCAACATGTCAAAGAAGGGGTGCTTGAGGGCTTCGGCCAGGGTGATGCGCTTGGACGGCTCGTACTCCAGCATGCTCTCGATGAGGTCAAAAAGGCGGTGGTGGTCCTCGGCCTCAGAGGTAAGGTATCGCTGGGGGGATGGAGGGAGAGGTTAGGGCCAAGGATACTCTCCCGGTCGCGGTACGTTCCCTGGGCTGAATGGCTAAGCTGGGGAGGACTGGTTTGTTCACACTGCCACTCATCCCAGGCCTGAACTCTGAGCCACTTTACCAAGCGTGGAACTGTGTAGTTTTCACCCTCCTGCCATCTTTCCCAGGCACTTCCTAAGGTCTCCGTGCCTCCCTGCTCACCTACTCCAGGCTGCTGCAGGCCTAGTTTATGCCTGGGACAGCCAAGGCTCCGTTGGGAAGACACTGGTCTGACCCCTTTGGTAGCACAACCTTGCCTACAGGAAGAATCCTCACACCTGGGGCAGGCCCTAATAAGACCCTGCAGTGAGAAAAGGATAAAGCAACCAGGTGCTCCTGCCCATCCCGCCTTACCCGCAGCGGCTTGCAGTTTTCCCTAACGTAGCGGCCAGCGGAGGTGTTCTCGTCCCAGTCCAGGCGGCCGTGGTAGAAATACTTCTGTTTCCTGTCAGAGTAAGAGGTGGGAACAGGTTACACCCAAGCACCAAATGTCTTGCAGCAGCAGTGACGCGCCAGCCCCGGCAGCGCGTGCCCTTCCGGACACTGCAGCAGCATGGACAACTGCCTCAGCAGGCAGCTTCAGAGCCAGATCCCTCAGAGAGAGCTGCTACACACGGACAAGAGAGCTGGCAAGCCTGCAGTGCCCAGCCAGCCTTGCTCACCTTGTCTTCCGGATCATCCGAGAAGGAATTGGCCCCAAGATCCTCTCCATCATGGCCAGGTGCTCCCGGTTGTCATGTGTCTGGGAGAGAGAGAAACGTAAAGGGAAGGCATGGAACAGATTCCAGTCCTTCTACCTCCAGCCCTGGGTATTCCCCTGTTCAGCACCCCTGGCTGGGCAACACCTCCGTTGACTCTACAAGTCATCGGTCCCAGAGGCTCCTGGCCCTACGGGGAAAACACGGGGAAACAGCCAGCATCCCTGTTCATAAGCTGCGAGGGAGCCATACAGCATACAGTTCTCACCTGAAACAGGGTGAAACCCACATAATACTCAAAGATGATGCAGCCAATGCTCCACACATCACAGGGCTGGCTCCAGCCAAGCTCTAAAAAACAATGGTTTTTAAATAAAAGATCCAGTTATGACCCAAGATTCCAAATCCCTCTCCCTCATGCTTTTAACAACAACCAACTCCCATTCCAGCCAGGCTCCTGATACGCCAGAGGCAATATACCGCCCGGCTGGTAGCAGTGCCGAAACACCAACCTGTAAGTTGTTGGCACCCCCGAAAACAGCACTCTAGAGCATGTTAAATAAAGCATTTATCTCCCAGGGTGAAGCCAGGACAGCTACTGAAGGAAGCGGAGGCAAAATGCTCCCTAACTCAGCAGGCAGCACCCAGCGCCCTCGAGGCAAACGCCTGCCTCTGCGGAAATACCGAGCACTACCTACCCAGGATGACTTCTGGGGCCCGGTAATGCCTGGTAGAGACAATTGTGCTGTGATGCTCATGATCAAACGTGGCGCTGCCGAAGTCCACCACTCTGATGGTCGTGCTCTTCACGCTCCGTTCATCCCGCTTCTTTGCGAGGGAGAATGGTATCAGTTATTCAGGAGTTGAGATGCGGAATTAGCCCTTTCCTTACACCGCCGAGGCTTCATCACAGGGCGCTATGGGAGGGGGAAGGCTCCAGAGGGTGCTGGCACAGCCCCCAGTCAAACTCTCACCATCAGCCAGGTAAGACCCTGTGGCTTGCTTACAGCCTACACAGCCAGGCCATGCAAGATACAGGCCCTGAACAAGTGCATGGACGTAGTCGGACAACCCTGTGTCTCCTGGGGCCGTGTTCCCACTCCTCCCGCCTGCTGACTGGGGGGGGGATGCCAAGAACCCAAGAGAAGACCTGTAACACCGAGCAGCGCTGTTACCTTTTCCAGGTTATAGGAGAGCTCGTAGTCAGAGTTCACGAAGAGGATGTTCTCCGGCTTGAGGTCAGTGTGAGTGAGTTTATTGTCGTGCAGAACTGAGGAAGCAAACAGAGCCGGGTGACGAAAGAGAAGCAAAGCGAGGCTGCACCCACCCAATGAGCGAACATCGTTAATTTGCTTTGCTCATACTGGCACCAGTTTAGTCCCCATTTAGAATTGTGTGTGAACAGTCGGGCTAGGCCAGGCCGAGACGCTTTGGCAGAACCGCGAAGATGTACCATATCACCAGAACGTGTAGGGCCGCGGATGCTGAAGTGCCCTGAGCTATTGACAGTCCACATGCATGGGAGAACATTACGATGAGGAAAATAAAAAGGATTCATTCCAAGCACGCGTTCACCGCTGGAGGGGCAGGAAGGCTCAGTCTGGGAACTGGCACAGCGGCACGGCAGCAAAAACTCGCTGCTTTGGGCCACCAGTGCAGAACTGGCACGGACGGCGGGAGCTGCACAGCTCTCCAGGTCAGTCAAGGACCAGCGGAGAGAAGAGCAGTGAACACTTACATTTCACGGCCTGGCACACCTGGTAGGCCATGTGCCGTACTTGGTGGATGGGGTAAGGCAGATAGTTGTTGTCCTTCAGGAAATCAAAGGTGCTGAGCCCCAGCAGTTCGAAGGAGATGCACATGTGGCCATGGTAGTCAAACCAGTCAAACATCCTGACACAAAGACTGAGAGAAAAATTCTGATTCGGGACAGATCTGCACGCACCACTCGGCTACGTTATCCCTGTGCCAGGCTCCTCCTTTCCTTGCAGTCTGTGTCCCATAGCAAGCCAATACGCCTCCAGAACCAAGCTACAGACGAATTCAGTCACACAACACCAAGTCCCTTTCTCACCCCACCCCTGCAACTGTGCTGAGGCGATGCTTGCCCTTCCACTTTAACACCAAGAGCACACTCACTTCGTGTTCTCAGGATCCTTCTCGTTGATTTTCTCCAGCACATTAATCTCCAGTCGAGCCGCCTCCTTGTATTTCTCTACGTTTTTAATGATTTTGAGAGCAACACGTGCACCGCCCCTGGGGGAGAAAGCACGAGATCACTGCTGAGCTGGGTCAGAGAGCCTGTGCCCTGCGAAAAGAGCTTTCTGAACCAGCCTCATCCCGTGCAGCACAGCCTTTGCTGCCTGTGCTCACCCCAGAAAGCGGCTGTGATTAAGGGGTGTCCACTGTGCCTCTTCCCTTTCTACACACAGCCCCAAGGCTCCCCCGGACCCCTCTCCAACACATGGGCGACCCAAGAGGGCGAAGCGCCCAGACCAGCAGAGGAATGCTGGAAACAAAGAGACTCATTCTCCCTCCCGGGCTCCCACGTTAAGCACAAAAGGCTTTGTCACCAGCTGTGTGGTTTTTTTTCCCCTCACCACCACTGTCTCTCCCTGTCCCAGCAGCAGACATACCTCCGGTGATCGATGCACTGCACCACTCTGCCGAACGTGCCTTCCCCTAAGGTGCTAATAATCTCATCTGGGAGGGAGAGAAGAGAGGAAGGCGGATGAGAGGGTGAGCACGACCTGGATGCAGCGCATACACAAGGCAGAGGAGAATGCATTGCAACACCTAACCTGCACACAGCTTGAGAGACCGGAGCAGCGGAAGGCTGACACCGGCTGCACAAGGCAACTGCCCTAGTTCCCTAGCACTTGAGTAACAATACAAAATATAAACGTAGCTTTAACAAAAGGGGGAGGAAAAGGAGAGGGTTTCTCTTTAATAAACAATGAAAATAAAATGAAACAGAAAGATAAGACAGATCTGCGACTGCGATGGGAGCTTAACTAGAGAGCTAAATTATGTTACGATTTGGCTGTACATCTTTCTTGTAGCCAGTCGCCGACGCGATAGATCAGATGCCCCTCGTCGTCGTCCTCCACACTCTTGGCCCTTCTGCTGCTCTGTCGACTCCGCTGCTGGCCCAGGCAGACAGGGAATTCATCATTCACCAATCAGATTTTCAAACCAGCGCAGCAGCCAGCGTCACGCATTGGTTGGTTTGGAAATTCACATGGTTGTTTGAGGAGGGGTTGCAGGAGGAGATTCCCAGCCAATTCATACGGCACAGAGGAATATATAACGATAGGGATATTGCAAGGGAACATGTCAAGATACAACACACTAGCTCAGAAAAGAAAAAAACAGTTTGCTTTTCGTTGTAGCAAAAAAAAAAAAAAAAAAAAAAAAAAAAAAAGAACCTACAAACAGCCCCACCCGAACCAGTGTGAGAGCAGAGACATCAGAACAAGGGCTAGCGGGGGGGCAGTGAAGGGGCCAGCTGCTCGCTCCCACAGGGGCTCGGAGAGGAACGGCACTGGCCTTCGGGTCCTGGATAATGCCAAGAGAGCACACGGAAGCCCAGCTCTGCATCCAGGCGCTCGGCGGCCACGGGGGGAGGCTCACTGCAGCCCCACAGCAGCCTCTGAGGAAAGGCAGCAGAGGGCAGGGGCTGGGAAGTCCTGCACAAGCCAAGGGCCAGGCTGCCCCACACAGGCACTCCCCATCCCATTCCAACAACCACCCACACAGCTTCCCCCAGCCCCAACACTCAGGAAAAGAGGAATTCAGAGATTTCAGAAGTAACTCTCGGTACAATGATCCGTCCAAAAACCAGAGAGAATTTACGAGCGACTGCCTGGGGTAAGATGTGACACTCCTCCCTAGACCCTCCCCCAAAGAAGCTGATCCCAGAAGGACTAACTTCCAGGAGAGAAGCAGAGGCCCAACAGGGAATAGGGACAGCCTGGGATGAGGCAGATAAGAGGTTTATGCCAGAGAAGAGAAAATTCCTGCCTTCAGTTCTTCAGCTAAGTATCCCCACACCTGGGAACATCCAGCCAGCAGACTCGGGACCCAAACCCAACCCACAGTCCCACTCCTGGACACACAGCCAGAACAGACCAGACGACACTGAGCGCTCCACACACAGAGCGGAGAACGTGTCTGGGGGTCTGACAGAAGTGGCAGGTGAGCAGCAGAACAGACAAGAAGAGAAAGGCAGGGACGCTGCTGGGAAGAGCCTGTGACGGTTGCTGCCTCCACCCGAGTTGACCGGTCCAGAAGCTCTGCTCCCCTGCAGAGCCCCTCGCACGACACCCCACGTCAGCTGGGCCCACCCAGAAGGATCCTGCTGTGACGCAGAACCTAACCCTCAGAGACAGAGGGCTTCCTGCCACAGAACACAGGCCCGAACCAGGGACCACGGGGCCCAAGGTGCCTGTTGCAGGCAGTCCGAGCTCTCTGGGACCGGGATCAGCTGAACGTTTGCCGTACAAACCTCGCACAAAAGACTGCTTTGGCTGGGGTTCCTAGGCAGCTCTTAATGAGCATCACCGAACAAAAGCAGCGCTCTGCAGGGATAAAGGAGCTGAGGACTGCAGCACCACCCCAGGGGACATGCCAGCCTCGCCTGTCCTCCTCCCACCTCTGAGCTGCCAACACTGAGAGGGTCTGAGCCGCCTGTGCCCAGCTGGCACAGGGCAGCCACTGCCGAGGCGCACAGGAACTGCTGTCTGCGTCAAACGCTTTCTACGCATTTCTCAAGATGAGTCCGAGAGAGTGTTAGAAAGTGAGTTTTCTACTTACCCAGCTCGCCACCTGGGAGAGAAAGGTTACAGGGCAGGCCCAGCACAGCAGGATACTCACCGATGAGGAGCGACTAAAGGACCGGCTGCGGCGCCGCCTCCGCCTGTGCTTACGCCGGCTGCTTTTGCAGCTCCGGTAGCTGCCCTCGCGGTCCCGGGAGCGCCGGTACTCGTAGGAATGACGGTACTCGGGTTCATAGTAGGCTTCCCCTCGCTCGCGGCTGTAATCGTTCCGCCGGTAGCTGTCACAGTAACGCCGGTCGTAGGCCCTCCTGTCTGCCGAGTGGTCGTCGTAGCTAGGGAGGGGAAGCAAGCCGAGGGGATGCGATCACGAACGCCGCCCGGGAAGTTACAGCTCAGAGCACACGAGAGAACAGGGCCCAGGCCACCCAGAAGCTGGGCTGCCCACAGCTGCCTCCGGCTGAGCTGGAGAAACACCGCAGGGTTCCAGGTCCCACCCTGTCTTTGCAGACTCACCTCCTGGATCGAACATGGTAACTGTCCTCCCGACGGTGCCGACGATCACGCTCGCTGCTGCTCGATCGCGACCGCGTCCGCCGTCTCTTATGTTTGCGACTTCTGTAGCGCTCGTGATAGCTGCCTCGGCTGCTGCGCTCCGACGAGCGGTACCTTCTAGAGTGAGGCATCTACAGGGACAACAGAGCGTGATGACTACGTGAGGCAATTGCAAGGGAGAGCGACCAGTGCAGATCGCCGGTGGCCAAGAAGCTGCTCGGGCAAGGAGGGAGCAGGCAATCAGCAGTGTCTGAGTGTGCAGGGGAGGGGGTTTGGAAGGGAGGGGATGAACTTCTGAGAGATCCCAGAACCCCGTATGAGACAGGATGCGACCACCCACGTGGGCTGTGCTTGCTGTAGTTGTTTTCCGGCTCACTCTCCCCTCTTCATGCCCATTGCTCCTGATCACAGCTCCAGGAGCAGCACTTGCACCTTCTCTCTTTAAACCAACGTGCTCCCCAGCGGGGAGAGAAGCACCACCAAGGAAAACTGAAGGAAGCTGAAATGGAGCTCAGGATACCACTGGTGCTTGGCCCAAAGTCCCTGCACACCAGGACTGGAGACACCTAAGAGGGCAGCTCCCGAAGAGATGCCTCTGGTTCACTGCCAAGAGATCTACACCTCCCACTGCCAGCACCCAGGCGGCAAACCCACCCTCTCCATGCGCAGAGGCGCTAACAAAGCCTTGCAGACCCCACCTCAGAGGGCAGGGGCGCTCACCTCCGCCTCTCTGGTGGGATGTGAGAGTCAAGAGTGAAGGAGAAAACCCCTCAGCAAGGTGGCACACCAGGTCCCAACCCTGAAGTGTCAGCATGCAGGATCCTGCTCCCATCGCCACACCTCACTCCACAACTCATTCCTCACTCCACAAGTCACTCCCTGCACGTATTTTGGTTCCGAAGCATCAAGCAGCTCAGCCTGCCTCGTCTCCAGAGCTCCCTTTGCCCACAGACCTCCCACCGGTGGTTTTCCACCCCCCCACACCCGACTGCCTTCCCACACCCACGCTGACAGTACCGCCAGGACTTCTACAAGGCAAAACCACCCCCGGTGACCGGGGGCACAGGACTGTTACACGCGAGAACGCTTCACGCTCCAGCCGGGCTCCGCGGGGTGCTCACGTTTCCCCCGGTCCGGCGGCTCCGCAGCTGGGTCTCGCC